CATGCAAAATTCATTAAAACCAGCGTGAGTTCGGAGGAAACTTACATAGATCGGGAAAATGGATGGAATAAGCTTTGATTTGCAACAAATTTGAGCAAATTTGGTTGAGAAACGAGCAAGAACGAGTGAATTGAAGTTCTGAGAATTCTCGAGCAAGAAACGCGAACAACAGCAGCAGAAATGAGGAAGAGAAGGGTATTTAAGGAAAACCCGACTCTAGCGCCAAGCGTCAGACCTTGGCGTCAGTCGATAAAGCTTAGCGCTTGGCGCTAGTTCCAGCGTCTGGCGCTACAGCCAGATAGTGGCGCTGATGTTATTTCAGCGGCGCCAGAATGTTCAGCCACTCAGTACGGTTGTTCCAACCTTTTGCAATATATTTTGGGTTCCTTGGTACGCCAGTTAGCCCTCTGAGCAATTTGACACGATTTTAGTAATCGGCTTGATTACATAAAGTGATTGACCTGATGAAAGATCGTGTCACTTAGCTTAAAGCGCCTAAGCATTGGCTTATCGCAAAAGGCACCGACATACTGGTTCATTCAGAAAGGCACCGACATACTGGTTCATAATTCAGAAAAAGGCACCGACATACAGGTTCACAAACAGCAAAAGCGCCGACGTATAGGCATAGCGGAAGCAAAGTTCAAGCGATCTTTTAAAGATCGACAAGCGGAGGTCTTCGATAATTTTCTTTGGAGTATTATCGCAACAAATGAGGATAGCTTCAAGCGAGGATATCTTCGGCAGCGTTCCCTAGCTTGCGGAGAGTTGTCACAAACAACTGAAGGTAATTTCAAGAGAAGTTGTCTTCGATCGTGTTCCCTGAGATGTGGAAGATGGTCATAAAGCGGAAGAGGATTGTTTCAGGCGAAGCAATCTTCGATAGTGTTCCCTGGCTTGTGGAAGATTATCAAGACGGAAATTGGAGGCAGTTACAAGCGTAGAAGTTTTCAAGCAGGATGACATTCTCTAACTTGCAGGAGGTCATCAAAACAACAGTAATACAGCAGCAAATCGGTTACTTTAGAGACGTGTGCTCGGCGGTGCAAGATACGCGTTTCTTAACTATCTTATTTGTTTAACTAACGCTAGTTTGCAGGTATCGACGTTACAAGAATGATTTAGGATCGCAGAACGTTCTGAATCATTCTCCGTCCCTATCGCTACTTTGACTTTTGTTTTCGAAACCTGCGTTTCTCCAAACTCAGTCAAAGTGGGGGCTTCTGTAGACACCCATTTATGTCTCCCCAAAACCAAACCCAGTGATGAGTACCTTTCACGTCAAATCATAATCGAATGAAGTGAAAAATACCATTCGATTATGATTACCATTCGATTATGATTACCAACGTCAACCTCCTTTCTAGCTGAAATCTCAGATCGATAACAAACATCAACAAGAGTACCTCGAACAACATTATGCCGATGTTTAATACCAACCATACCAGCACACGATACCGCGTGATCACCGAAAATATCCCCAGTGAAAACCCTTGAACAAGCAACACACGTCGTCGAAACAGAGAATAAAGGAACAACTAGACGGTAGCATAATAAACATCGATAAGTCCTTACGTTCATAGTCTGACCCAACCCTGAAATAGGAACCGCCCGAAACCAAGCGGAGGAGTGATCTCCTTGCTGCGATTTCCACAATGCTGATTGATGAGGAGATAAAGAGAAGGTGGATTCTACAGATGCGGTAACCTTTGTGAAATATATATCTGCCAATTTCTTCATGAGTTTAGGGGAAGCGACCTCACTAGGATTACTCAAAATGTCAGACCCAACCATTCCATTAAACTGAAGCAAGACATCCGCAAAAGCTCGACCAAGGCCATCAACGCTAGCATGCCGGAGAAGCTTTGTCTGCAACCCAGCAGACTGTAACCGAGAGGCAAGAAAAGCATAATGACGAACATCACCTGCGGAATAAACACCATTATTATTATTATTATTATTATTATTATAGATGGATCACTTTCTATATGTAGAAGTTTCGACTTAAGACGCATCACTATTTTTTTTAAAAAAATTATAAATTCTATTTCTCTTGTATCATATATGGAGTAGTCCACTTTTTTTTCTTTCACTTTATCTCTCCCATCTACAAAAGTTACACAGATTTCATTTTGAAGAATATTACCCATTACTAGCTAGGTGGACTTGTACTTGTCAATACCACAAAAATAATATTATTTTCTAAATAAAGTTCATGTAAATGAAAGGGAAAAATGGGTAAAAATAATATTTAACCCAAAAATAGAGGAGAGGAGGCTATGGAATATACTTTTCTGTTAGAATTACGACTCTGCCAGAGTTACATTACTCTTAAGGTCTTCATCTACAAGGATCGGAGTGGAATTCTACCGGAGCAGCAAATTGTGTGGTTGATTTAAACAAAAAAGTGATATGAATTTTAATAGATGAAAGGTAGTATAGTCAGAGGGCGGCAAATGATTTTCAAGGTTTACAAACATCTTGTTACTTTATTCACGAGAATCGATGAATTCTTTATCGGAGTGCAAATTTACTACTTGATTCATGAAAAACAATGTGTCCACTGCTAAATATTATCGAAATTCGAAACAATATGAGTGTGAGAATGAAATTAAAGTTGAAGTCGACGACGTTAATTGTTTGTCGATATTCAATTAACATGTATATTGTTACTTTTTATTTGTAAACTGTTATTTTTTTTATATTGTTTTATGAGCTTGATTTATAATTTTATATACCTTTTGGGTATATGAAATTTTGTGGGTTTGATACATTTTGTTATTAATTTGTATACTACTATCATTGATTTGTATACCGTTATCGTATGATTTCATGTTGTTATTGTAATGTGTGTATTATTATTACACATTCAATAGTAGTGGTGGTAAGGACGGTGCGATAACTAACTGGCATACGGTACTTTATGAAGATGAAGATGAAAATGATGGTGATGGTAATGGTAATTTTCTCTCTCCTCTCAGTCAAAGGTTTTTTAATTGGTTTTCTGGTGAAATTTCGTTCGAATTATAAACTTTATGACCACCAACACCTTTAAGCTACAAGAACGACCAAACTCGTCTTTGAGATCTTCAAATTGATTACATAGGGAAAGAGGAGAGAGTTTATTTATTTATTTATTTATTTTATTTTTAGGATTTTTCGGTGGAGGAAGGGGGGGGGGGTGGGGGGAGAGGAAAGAGAGTACTTTTTTACATATTTTTTTTACAAGAAAAAAAAGAGATTTCATTAATAAAATGTAGCCAAACGACACTTACATATAATTCTTAAGAAATCAAAAATTCCAACACAAGTACACACCTTAAAATTAAATACAACGTAGATTTGATTGACAATCGCCTTTATAAAAAAACTTCATGTGGAGCAATACAATTTGTGAGTTCGCACTGATTAGGCTTGAAATCCATTGATGCATAGTCGTTCGAGTGAAAATGCTCATATGGTCCTCCGGATTCTTGTAGAGATTATGAAACCCTAGATCTTCAACCCTTGCTATAGAAACACAGCTTAGTAACAAATGAGTTACTGTTTAAGAATGTACATGGAAGTTCATTTTTTCCCCAGGTATGGATTAAGGGAGCCTATACCTGGTAGTGGTCCATCACTCCTCTTAAAAGTTATGGATAATAATAATAATAATAATAATAATAATAATAATAATAATAATAATAATAATAATAATAATAATAATAATAACAGAAGTGAAAAAAGAAAAGAAGCAAATCACTCACAACTTTGCAATCAGTAAAATTCAATTAAAAAATTTGACTCTAATAATTCAATTTTTGCGCGATCTTATTTTTATTAATTTTGTCTTTTAGTTTTCCTACAATAATCCAAAATTTAGGGATATTATATTATATTAGGCCAAGCAGGTCATTTAACCTAAACAACAGATGCCACATGTCATGTTTTCATTTGTCTAAAAAATGTTTTTCCATTTATTTTTAAAGAAACTTTAAATTTTTTTTTTTTTTTTTTCCGTTTCTTCTTCCTCTTCCTTTCCACCTTCATGAAAATGCACCTCCATAATTGCCATCTCCAAAACCCGACAACCATATCCCCCAAATCCGACAACCTCCCACTCTCCAAGCAGGTCCGGTGGTTGTTCGTGTGTGGCCATGGAAGGGGGGAAGCTTGTGAATTGCTCTTGGTGGGATTTTTTTTATAATTTTTTATAACTCTTTTTTTTGTTAAATAATTTGAAAATAATAATAGTAAAAATCATGTGAAAAATCGTTAACGGGTCACTTTGACTTAATTGAATAGAACACTCCTTAAAACTTGAATTATTATGGAATAAATCTACGGAGTAATAGAATAGGACACTCCTAAAGCTTGAATTATTGTGGAATAAACAAAAGTCGGATTAATAAAATAAAGGAAAAATTGCCCCATTAATCCCAACTTTGCCTCGTCCGCCAATAATAATCCATACTTTCGATTATTCACCATTACTCCTTAATGACAGGGGTGGGGGAAGGGAAGGGGTGAATTTCGAGGGAAGGGGGAAGGTTGGGCGGCGGTTTCCGGGAGTGGGGGAGGGGTTTTCAGGGGTGGGGGAAGGGAAGGGGTGGGTTTCGAGGGAGGGGGAATGGAGGGCAGGGCGGCGGTTTCTGGTAGCGGGTGAGGGGTTTTCGGGGATGGGGCTGATTTTCCGGCAGGGGTGGGGGTGGGGGTGTGGTGGCAGCTGTTGGGCATGGGTGGTTTGTGGGGTTTATTTATTTTTTTTAATAAAAAAATTTAAGCCAATCATACGCTGACACATGTTTAGATAACCTGCTACATCAGGTTAGATGACAGATTGGGTGCAATAGAAATTAATAGGGCATAAAATTGAGATTGATACTGAATAATCAAAAGTAGGGATTATTATTGGCGAACGAGTCAAAGTTGGGATTGTTGAAACCCATTGTAACCCACTTGTGAGTAACTCCTCTACCTTATAAAGTGTGGTGACACTTGAGAGATTTATTATTCAACAGGGATTAATGGGGGCAATATTTCTTAAAATAAAACTACGCAGAGGTCGGATTATGACTTTATGAGTACTCGTAATAAATTTTCCAATTCAATTGTTTTTTTTTTAAAAAAAAAAAAAAAAAAAATTCCAATTCAATTTTAGGTCTTTTCCCCCATTTTCGAATTCTCATTTCAAACCCTCGTCTTTCTATTCTTCACCAAAGAAAAACTCAAGCTCCACAACAATGGCGGCAACCCAAATCCCAGCACCTAAATCATCTCTTTCATCCCTCCTCAATCTCCTCCCATCATTCTTCAAAAATAACAAATTCAGCGATGCAAAATCCCATTTACTCACTTTCATCGCCTCCGATCCTCAACACACTCTTCATCACCATCTCCTTCACCCTTCTTCCCATCTTCCTCCGCCCACCAAAGCCCTTTTCGACACCGCAATTTCCGCCTACTGTCAGTCAGGAAAACCCCATTTTGCCCTTCAAATCTTCAAGAAGATGAAGCGTCTCAAGCTCAAGCCAAAGCTTCTAACTTGCAATACTTTGCTCAATTCATTGGTAAAATACCCATCTTCTCATTCTATTTCTAGTTGTAGAGATTTGTTTGATGATATGGCTCGAATTCGGGTTGCCCCAAATGTTGTTACTTTCAATATTTTGATTAATGGGTATTGTTCGGAATTTCGATTTAAGGATGCTATGGAAGTGCTTAAGATTATGTCTGATTTTGATTGTTTTCCTGATAATGTTACTTATAATACTATTTTGGATGCATTGTGTAAGAAAGGTAGGTTGAATGATGTTAGAGAATTGTTGTCTGATATGAAGGATAAAGGATTGGTTCCTAATAAGAATACTTATAATATATTGATTAATGGGTATTGTAAAATGGGGTGGCTGAAGGAGGCGGCGCAGGTTATCGTTTTGATGACACATAATAATTTATTGCCTGATGTTTGGACTTATAATATGTTGATTAATGGATTGTGTAATGATGGGAAGATTGATGAGGGTTTGAGGAAGAGGGATGAGATGGAGAAGTTGAGATTAATGCCGGATGTGGTTACTTATAATACTTTGATTAATGGGTGTCTCAAGTTTAGGGATAGTAACGAGGCGTTTGCGTTGTTGGATGAAATGAGGGATAAGGGAGTGGGGAAGAATGCGGTTACTTATAATATAATTATCAAGTGGTTTTGTGATCAAAAGAAGATTGGAGAGGCAATGAATGCGCTAAAGGAGATGGAAGAGAGTGGAGTTTCACCAGATTGTGTGACTTATAATACTATAATTAATGCATATTGCAAGTTGGGGAACTTTGGAGAAGCTTTTAAGGTGATGAGTCAGATGGGTAGGAAAGGCTTGAAGATGGATATATTTACGTTGAATATGTTTCTTCACACTCTTTGTGAGGACAAGAGGCTTGATGAGGCGCATGAGCTACTCAATAGTGCTATTGGGCGGGGTTATGTGCTTGATGAAGTGAGTTATGGTACTCTGATTACGGGGTACTTTAAGGATGAAAAGGAGGAGAGGGCTTTAAAGGTTTGGGAGGAGATGAAAGAGAAAGGGGTCATTCCAAGTGTTGCCACTTATAATTCTTTAATCTCTGGGTTCTGCAAATCAGGAAAAACTGACCAAGCAATCGGAAAGTTGAATGAACTTATGGAGAATGGATTGTTCCCAGATGAGACTACATACAACACCATTATCCATGGTTATTGCTGGGAGGGTAAAGTTGAGCAAGCATTTCAGTTTCATAACAAAATGGTGGAGAATGCATTTAAGCCTAATGTGTACACATGTAATATTCTTCTGCGCGGTCTTTGCTCTGATGGGATGCTTGAAAAGGCTATTAAGCTTTTCCATACTTGGGTTTCTAAAGGCAAAGAAGTTGATGCAGTTACGTACAATACATTGATAACAAGTCTGTGTAAGGACGGAAGACTTGAAGATGCTTTAAACCTTGTGGAGGACATGATGGAAAATAATGTAGGACCGGATAAGTACACCTACAATGCCATTTTCAATGCTCTTGCCAGTGCAGGGAGAACAATGGAAGCAGAAAAATTTAGGGAAACAATGCTTCAATCTGGAATGTTGCAGGATCAATGCTCACAGCTTGAAAAGGGCGTATCGGTTGAGGCTGATGTAGTGACGGCAGAGCCAATCTCATGTGCTGAAGACTTTTCAAAAAGGATAAATGAATTGTGCATGGAAGGTCGGTACAGGGAAGCAATGGACATATATCAAGAGGCTAGTCATAAAGGAGTAGCTGTAAATAAGACAGCTTATTTCACTCTGATTGAGGGGCTCCTTAAGAGAAGAAAGTCCATATCAAAAGAAGCTCATTGACTTCTGGTTCTATGATGGGTTCTCATGACCTATTTACTTCCTTGGGATCGATGGATTTAGATTCGATTGAATCAGAACACACCTGAGGTACTTACTGCAGAAACCGCAAACATATTGTTTTTCTTCACTTATTTGCATATAAGTTTGTTTCCTCAAAAAAAATTTGCATATAAGTTTGTGCTTGGATCTTGGTGCTCATAATAACAGAAGCGTTTTGTAAGTGAGTTCCTGCCCAATTTGAAACTCTTACATCTGTCAGTATCCACTCTATGGATAGCAGTTTGTCTTACATGTGTGTAGATGTTTTTTGTCAGCTGTGTGATTTTATGCAATATTTAATCCAGTTTAGGCATGTGAATTTTGATTTGGTCAGAAACCATTGTGTCTTAACACTTATTGGGCCATTGGATGGTTAAAAATATAATGATTCTAGTGTAACACTTTTGCATGGGTTTTCCAGAAGTGCCTCAGGCAATAGGGTCCTGGAGGTGAAGGCACATGCTTAGGAGCGATTCATACAATTTTTTAGTAAAAAGGCGTCATACCTAGAAAGTATGGATTATGGAGTATTTTACAACCAAATGAAATTTTGTTTGATAAATTCTATGATTGTCTGATTTTTCATAGTTGTGTTTCTTAATACTGATATCAAATGTATTACGAAAAATGAATTTCTTTTAATGAGAATTTTCTATTTAAAATAAAAGCTTGGTGCAATTTTAGTAGGGGACTCATGCCCTTTGCGACTTAAGAGCCTTGTGGTGTTGTGGTACCCTGGTGATCATCATTTCCTCAGTCTCGTACCTCAATGCCAAACCTTTCCTCATTTTAATGCACTGCATGAGTGCATGTCGTATAGGTGTTCTGATAGTCTTGTGGTACCCTGGTGATCATCATTTCCTCAGTCTCGTACCTCAATGCCAAACCTTTCCTCATTTTAATGCACTGCATGAGTGCATGGCGTATAGGTGTTCTGATAGTCTTATCTTCTAACTTGAAGTGTTGCCGTTTTACGTGAAATGTGTGATGGCGGTGGTTGTTGTTGGTTGCACACTTGCACTCCATTTATTCTGTGAGTAGTTGAGAGAAGATAGAAAGAGTGGGGGGGGGGTCATTTAAAGGTCATGTGAATGGTCAATGCCAGATTTTTGGTCAACATTTGTTTCTCGGCCATAGATGTTACTTTACAACATAAAATTTTTAAAAGGTGGTTAATTACCACATATTTTTTCAATGGTGGTTTTTGCAAAAAACTGGAATTTAAAAGGTGGTTTTTGACAAAATTTCCTGATGTAACATTTGAATGTTTCTATATGGTATATCCTGGTTATTTATCATCAGTGAGTTTGATACTTTGATTGTTTGTGTTGGCATTTTGCTGATGGTAAATCAATATTTACTCACCCTTTCTTTCCTCATTCTCACTGAGGTTGCAATAATAGAAAAAAAAAAAAGTCAAATATCTTGTGATAAATGTGCTGGTTCTTTCATGGTGCATTTGAAACTGCAAGTTTAATTTTTTTGAAAAACAATAAGACTCAAACACTATGGTTTTGAACTAATCAGTGGCTTTGAATCTATATATATATTTTTAAAATTCTTTTCTTCACCCCTATCTCCCTCTTCTTTCTGTCTCGTTCTTTTTGACCTATTTCCCATCTCTCTCCTCTCATTTCTTCATCCCTTTCTCTATCTCTCCTCACACATCTTCACCCTTTTCCCTATCTTTCGTCTCACCCTCACCCTCACACCATCTCTATCTCGACTCTGGCACTGCAAAGAGCGAGCTCTGGATGATCTCTGGCTTTCTTTAGGTCATGAGTGGAATGAGATGTGTTGTGGCCTTGTTGGTGTTGTCGTATAGCTAAGTGTGCTTTATTTCTGATAGATGAATTCTGTTTAGAAAATCTTTATATGATTTTTCTGATTGGATGAGGTTCAGAAATATAATTTAATTTAGACAGTACATGTTCTATTTCCTGCATTTGAAAAAGCACAAGAGATTCAGTTGATAATGAATGACTTGTGTGGGTGTCAACTTATGAAAATTTAAGTTTGCTAGACACTCCAAACTGGTTTATAATGTTCTCATCCTCAGGATTAAAGTACTTAGCAATTTCGAGGCAATTTAGAGTCTTTCCTTCAGAGCTAAATTGCCTAGTCTGCAGGGGTTCTCTGGGACTGAAGGTAGATCTCCAGTCACTAACAAGACCTGCCCTGCTTAATATGACGAAGCCTTTAATTTAATTAAATGAATTATCTGATGGTATTGGCTGTTCTTGTTTCTTCCCTCTTTGGTAAATAAATTGAAGTCTGATTATAGCACTCTAATCCATTTCACCTGTGAGTGTGGATTTTTTTTTTCAGACTACAGGGACCTCTATGATTCAATGGCCAAATCAATTATGAAATGCTTACCGTTTTGGAAGCTGGCTCTAGAGAGATTCTTGCCGTAGTGGTGATGCCAAACTGTCCTAGTGTCCCAAGAATGTCATAAAATTAAAGAGGTCAGCTTTCTGTTTTGCTGAGCTGAACCGTTCACTAAATCTCCTTTTCCTGCACCCATGAAAAAATCAAATGATTTATAAAAATGGGCCTTAAATATTTTCCTGCATTATTGTGCTCTTGTTCTAAAAATCTCATGCTAAACGAATATGATGCCTGAATTTATTCATGTGATATTCTAGTATTCAATTCCTAATATCTGCAAATAGGAACAATGACTTGATAACTTACTAATGACAACTTACAGATAGTGAACATCTCTGAATTTCCCTGCTGGTTAAATAAAAGTAATTGGTCCATGCATTTTGGGCTGCACGTGTAGGGGGTTGTAGAGGGGTGTGTGTTGCTTGCGGGGCTGCTGGGTAGTATGCTAGCTTGTGTTATATGATGGTCTACTGTTTTTTTTTTCTTTCTTTCTTTTGGTTGGTGTATATCTTGAAAGTGTGCATTTCATGTTGAATGTAGTATGATGTTTCTGTGATTAGGAGCCTGCATTGTTTACTACAGAGTAACATTGAGAAATATTAGGCAAATTTGTTTAGTAGTACCAGGTTTTTTGTAGAGTTTGTGAGCAACCTTTGGATTTTTTTTTTTTTGAATCTCTAATTGACAAAAGTATTAAAAGCATCTTAGCTCCATTTTCCAGAGAGAGTCAAATTTCCTACATTGATGTTGTCTTTTTTTATTTTTATTTATTTTTATATTCCTGAAATTATTTTGTTGTGAATTTATCTGAACTCATTTTTTCCAAACTTATTTTATCTGAACTTATTTTTTGCAATTGGACAAAACAAGATGAATGAACATGCCCTAAGTTGTGACATCTCCTATCTCATTGAACATTTATGTCTGCTATTTCAGCTATAAGAATCTATAACATCTTTGACGCGTTAGAAAATTTAAAAGCTGCAGCAGGATCAAGATTTTGCTACCCTTAATCTCTTGAGATTAAAATTCCTTGCATCAATTCCTTGTGTTTTAATTTTAGTCAAATGTGACTGTAACTGCTATGTTTAACCTTCATGTACCCAAGAAATTATTTGGATTTCAAAATCTGCAGCTAGGGCATCAGCTGCAATAAATATTGATGCCTAGGTTCAGAACTTCAGATAAATTTTTAATAGTGGACCGGGTTTACTCTTTAGTGTATGTGCCAAGATGCACTCCTGTTTAGTTATCTCTTGAAGTAAGAAACTGTAATCTTTACCTCTGAATCTCTTATTAATTTGCTGTTCAATGTCTCTAAATGTATCTTTTCTTGATGCTGCAAAATCTGCTGGATGCAACTGATAACAGTGACCTGTCTAGTGTGCGTTGAAAATTTGGAACTTACTCTGGATTTGTGGAGTTACATGTAGAGCAAGGGTCTATTTTGGAAGCTGAAGCTGCACATTTCCTGTAAAATGTGATGCTCTCACAGAATTTGAAATGCCGTGCTGCTGGTGCCACTGCATGCTGCCACCGTTGCTGCTGCTGGCACTGCACACTGCCGTTGTGTCTTCCTCATAATCAGTCCCAGTACTGAAGTGTCTGATGCTATCGTCTCCCTGAGAGACCAACACGCAATCTTTGGAGGATGGATGCTGCCGATTTTAAGCATAGGAAGAAATGCCCCAATCTCCCCCCAAACAACCCGCCCTTGGTGATCATCAAACCCACACATTATGGGTACGAGAGATGGAAATGCTGACTACTGGGCTACCACTCCAAGTACTTTAGGATAAATATGTTGCACATATTATCGCTTTTGATATTGTACATACTACTGAAAAATTCCTATAGCGTACTTTCTCTAGTTTAAATAATTTGTTATATCGTCCAAACTCCTTATTACAGAGTAACACAGATAAAGAGTAACACAGATAAAGACATGATCATACAAAAAGATGAATGAATGTTTCATCTTTTCTATGGTGACATTTTTTTTTATATATATATATATATATATATTTTTTTTTTTAAATCCTATGATGGGATTTATATTAATATATATGTGACTAATTCTTCTAATTGACCTTTAAAGACAAATGATCGGAGCATCAATTACATATGTATTCGTGAAATTAATTAGTCATTCTAGCTACAACACAAATGTGACCAATTCTCTATTATTCTAGCTTCAATTACCACGACTGAAGCTGCATGCATGAGTTATAACACTGGTCTCTTATCATCTCACAATATTACGTTGACAAAAGATCGGTTTACAGTATATGCATACATTCTGCATTTCTACTAAAGGCTTTACGCCTTGGTTTGATGGATGAAAGCTGCTTCATACATGAAACCGACGTCCTAGGCATATGTAATAGAGCTTTTTTCACACACTAGCAACAACAATAGAAAGGTGCCGGAAAAGAAAAACCGCACCACAGAATTCTTAATGCTTGATGGGTTATAGAGTGGTATAAAGAACAGAAGTACGCCGAACAAGAAGGTACATCCCATGCCTAAAACCACGTAGGATAGCCAAGGTACTGTCCTCAACACGACGAATATACCCATCATGAAAGCCAAGGACATCATCACCAATGCGAAACCCAACAAGGGTAGTGCGAACTTGAGAGATACCAGGATTAGCTTAAGGTCACCTAAGTGTGCCCAAATGAGAGTTACCACACATAAAACGGAACTGTATAATGCCGCTGTGTTGCATATTACAAATGCCTTGAACGGCCATCTGTCCGGCAAGACAGCCATGCCTATGTTCGGGTCATTGTCGGACTGGTTGTAACCTCCCGGAAGGGTGAATCCAGCTGCAAACGTAACAGTAGCCACTAGTGTGGCTACTAGCATGTGTGTGTCAACTCTTTTTCTGAAACCATCCAACTCCTTCACGCTATTTGCTTTGTTCTTTTGCTTTCTAACTCTTTGTAGTTGCTTGTAGCAGCTCTTTCTTAGTGATTGTGAGCTTCGTGGTGCATCCACATATCTCAAGGCCATCCAAGTAAGTCTCTGAAAATTCATAAAGCAATGAATTGTACATGTTACAACGGATGCAAGAAAGATAATAACATAAACAAATTAAATAAAAACACAAATTTAACGTGGTTCACTAACAATTAGTTTGATTTGTCATGCCCAACATGCATAGGATGTATTATAACATAAGCTAGGCCAGGCAAAAAATATTTGGTTGATCCAAAACATAACAAGGCCCAACAAATCAGATTGTTTAGAAAATCACAACCCAATTATTGTAATAATTTAATTTCATACTTCGTATAAAGGATTTTTTTGAAGATAACACCTCATATTTAAAAAAAAGATGGATTATAACACTATTTTTTTTAAAATTTTTATTATAACACCACATAAAAACCCAAAAATTGAATTTCACCACCATTTAACCGTATCTTTGGATGGAATCCGTTAGTGGGACCCACTAAGCATACGTGTCATTCATTGATTGGTTTAAAAAAAAACCAAAATATTTTTTTAAAAAAATAAAATAATACCAATCCCTAACCTAGCTCCGATCCACCACCGGCAACCATGAACTGCCGCCGACAGCCCTGAAACCCTAACCCAGCCCCACCGTCGGCACCTCAAGCCACCGAAAAACCCACCGGAGCCAACTTCAAAACACCCCAGCCATCGAAAACCCACCTAACCCATCTCCTAACCCATCCTTGAAACACCTCAGCCACAGAAAAACAACCCAACCGCCGCTAGCAAGGAGGGGGTCGCAAACTAGGGTGGGGATCAGAGAGGGGGTCGTCGCGCAGGTGGAGATCTGTGGGTTGTCGAAGCAGGCGGAGTTTGATGGGTGTGATTTGGTTGTGTTTTGAATGGCGGAGGTGGTTGCGCGGGCTAGTTTGGTGTTGTTGGAGATGTGAGGCTAGGTGGGGCTGGGGTAGTTTTCGGGGAGCGGAAATGATGGAGTCGCCGGTTCCGGCTAGTTCCGACAGGAGATAAGGTGGTTCCGGCGGGAGGTTAGGGGATATCGACGTTTTGGCTAGTGGTTCCGGTGGTGGGGCTGGGTTGGGTGAGAATTTAGGGGTTTTTTTTTATGTTTAATTAATTTTTATTTAAACAAATCCCTGAGTGACACGTGTCCACAGTGGATCCTACTAACGGATTCCATCCAAAAATCCGTTAGTTGGTGGTGAAACCAATTTTTTTTGATTTTTTTATGGTGTTATAATCAAAATTTGAAAAATTGTGGTGTTATAATCCATTTTTTGTAAAATTTGTGGTGTTATTTTCAAAAAAATCCTCGTATATATTAGGAAAATTTGTGAGGAAGGTCCTTTTAAGTAAACCTTTTTGTAACAAAGGTCCTTTTATAAAAAAGGTGGCACGAAAGGTCCTTATATCATGTTTAGGTTGTAAGGAGGGTCCTTTGACTATTTTCCGGCGTTGACTTTTTTATTTTCCGGCCAAAAAAAGTCATATCTAAGTTCCCTTTTTTCTCCCTCCTCTTTTCCCCTACTAAACCCTAATTTCTGAAAACAATTAACACCAAAACTTCAATTATAATCTCATAAATTAAAATTGAAGGGTATTCAAAGTAATTCAAGGCTAATCCTCCCCACAATGAGAGAAAATAGTGGAAAAAGGGAACTTAATAAGTCACGTTCTTTACACGTGGCTTTTTCTGGCCGAAAAATAAAAAAGTCAACGCCGGAAAATGGTCAAATTAAAGGACCATTCTCACAACCCAAACATGATATAAGAACCTTTTGTGCCGCCACCTTTTTTATAAAAGGGCCTTTGTCACAAAAAAGTCTACTTAAAAGGACCTTCCTCATAAATTTTCCTATATATTAAAGTTAACTTCATAATATGTTAAGATCAAATGTACACAACAGTAAATCACGTACACATGATTACCTAACTAGTAAAGAAAAACAAAGGAAGTAATTTGATCGTGACTAATACGTATGTTGGTAATATAAAAAATGGTTAATCGATAACATACCGCTTCAAACGTGGGGAATGAATCAACATGAACCTCAAAAATATCAAGAGCTGTTAACCCTTTCTTGTTCTGCAACTTAGTCTTGCATTTCTTCTCTCTTGTCAAAATATAGACCGCCCTCGGATGTAGGTCTCTGGTAGCCAAATGCAAAGGAGTATTACCATCTTCGTCTTTAAGGTTAATGAGTCTTGCCAATTCGGTCATTTTGATGAGATACGATACTAGTTGGGACTTTCCATATTTAGCAGCCAAATGAAGAATACTTTGCCCTTTTTTACTGAGCAAGTTTTTGGTCATGTGTAACTTTTGAATGATCTTTACATTACCACTACATGCTGCCTTGTGAATTGGAAAGGAGGCTTCTTTGTCACATACATACGCATATTCAGGGAATTTGTTGAGCAAGTATTGAACACCTTCAATGTGACCTTTAAATGCTGCATAAGATAGTGGTGATTGACCATCATCTTCCACTAATTTTATTAGTTCATTGTGATTGTCTAGTATCAACTTCAAAATATCTGTATAAATTCAAATTCAGGAGTTATTATGTAAATGTAAAGCATATATATTTTGCAAATAAAAGAACTAAGTAATCAAGAGTGTTTAAAAAGAAAAAGTAGCTTGTTTTACTTTAAGAACATTGAGTGGAGTCATCATGCTTTTGTTGACCAAATAATCTGTAGATAACAGGAGTATTAGGAATCTAAAATTTATTGTGGTATAAGGTTAACATAGGTCAAAAGTGGCTGCGACTCATATGTCCTTTAATTTTTAACATCCTTTTCGCCTTAGATAATAAGAGCATTAGTAACGGAAAGGTTCTTAAATGAGGGTTCTTATTCTCTCTATTATTCCACATCATCAACAACTATTATTAAGAACCATATTTTATATTCTCAAAGGAATGCACTAAACTCTTAACACTATATCTTAATCTCTCTCTTAGTAATAACCGTTGGAAGGAAATTTTTACAAACAACCATTTGATAGTGCATGATCACGTGGGTGCTAAACAATTGCTCTGCATTTCCCTTGCAAGTTTCAGTCATAGGATAACTTTTGCTTTTATAAATTGTACAATTTCATGCAAAACGCACCAATTTTAGTAGTATACAATGTCGTTTAATGCTAGTCAGCTATGGTTCATATTTTTCAGAGCTATTGCTTATTTCATAACCACCAAGCACAATTGCTAAATAAGATACTCCCATTTCTTACTTAAAACCCATTTCTTAAATTTTCTCTCTCCTTAAGAACTACCTAAACCACTCCCACTATTGATGCTCTAATCTACTCTAAATATTATCATCACTATTCAACTTTCTTTCCTATTGAGATAGGTCCTGTTTGACAAAACTAGCAGAGTAGTTACTCCGTATTTATAATGGTAATGAGTAATTATCAATTAGTAACATCTTATCTGATTTGGGTGGAGACACATAGGTAATATATGCTCTTGTCTAATTTGAACAAACATACGTGTAGTAATATACCTAAATATCTTTAGGATAAACCGTTAAATATTGGTAAGATTTCTAATGAAAAGATCATTTATGAAATGAAAAGCATATTTTGGGATGCCCTAATTTCTTATTGTGAGTAATAAATTTTGTTTCTCAATATGATAAACTGGAAATTTTCCATATTTTATCTGATTAAATTTTTTAAAGATACTAATTTGACTTTACAAATTCGAATTGTAGACCTCGATACAACAAATAAATTACTAGTATTATTATTTTTTTAATTCCACTCAATATTAAATTACTCTGATCAGTTAATCACAATTGTTATTTTCTTCTCCCTCCAATATAAAATAACCTTTTCTCACAACTTTTGCCCATGCCATGTATAATGCCAAGAATAAGTAAATTATATTCCCTTTATCGTTTTATTTGTCCTGCTTATTAAAATTTATCAACACTTTTTATTTTATTTTAAAATGTTGGAGATATGAAATATAATCAATATCAGAATATATATATATAAAATACCAAGGTAACATACCTGTGTTCTTGGCCTCAATGGCAGCATGAACAACAGACTTTCCCTTGAGCAACATCGGTTCGGCAGTATCCTTATGCTGCTCTGTATAAATGATCATCTTCTTCACAATTTCCCAACACTCGGACTTAATACCTAAATAAAGCGGAGTAATATTCTTCTTATTCAACTTATAACAAGCTTCACAAAATTCATCAACCAAAACCAAACCCATTTTTTCATCATGATTCTCTAACGCAATATGCAACGGCGTATCGCCTTCATCATTCCCTTCACCCAACAACGATTTCTCAATGTTCTCTGCTTGATCATACTTATCCCACTTTATAAGTGCTTTGAGTGATTTCAACTGCGCTGCTTTCGCCGCAGTATGAAACGCAAGATCACCCATGTTATTTGATTCCTTAATAACATCTTTGGTTTTTGGTAGAAGTTCGGTGATAAACTGAGACTGATCTGATCCTGCTGCAATGTGCAGCACAGAGTTTTCGTATTCCTTACATTTCAGCTTTTCCAAGCTAACTTGTGATTTTAACATATCGTCGAGTTTTCCCTCGACGATTAGCTTGTACATGGTTGCATCAATTGGAGTAAAATCTGGTGTGACATCTTTGCGGCTTGCTGACTGGCTGCTGTCGTCGCTGTCGCTGTCGCTGTCGTTGCTGTCGGACTTGATGCTGTCGTCTGTGCGAGGGGGGGAGAGATTGTTGCAGTATATTGAACTCTGGGATTGAATGGTGTTTTTCATGGAGGAAACTCCTTGAAGTACACCAATATTATTACAATTGGGAGAATTCATTTTCAAATTTCAATGCTTTTTTTTAAAAAAAATAAATAAATTCTACTTTTCCCTTTTTCTAAGCTATTTGCTACTTAGAGAGTGAGAATTAATTCACAGATCCAGGAACTATAAGTTACTCTTGAGTATAAAAGGGGCTTACACTTTACTGATTACTCCAAATATAGACTTACTTCTTCCTAGTCAATTTTTATACGTACTACAATTATTTATTGCATCGGTTTAAATCCTCGATCTTATAACTTAGTGTTATTTTATATACCACCAAAATTTATTGGTCCACCTCATCATCAAATAGGAGGCATCATACATCTCTTTCCAGGAAATGCACATCATTGTCATAAGAGGAGGTGATTTGTTTCGTATTATGTACAACAAATGAGTGTACATGACTCTTAAAAATATTTGTTTGTGATGGGATGGCTGTTAAATAATTAGATAAAGTAGGATATGTATGTAGCAATGAGAGAGTAGAGAAAAATGAACATTTAAAAAGGAAATAACCAACGAAAAATGAACATTTAAAAAGGAAATAACAGTATAACACATTTGGTGCATGTAATGTGTAGTAGCCATGATAAATGTTGCATATAATACAAACGAATATTAGACAAACATGTTCAGATAAAGTAAAAATTTAATAATGGCTAATAGGTTTAAATAAAATATGCAAAAGGAAAATTTGACTTTTGTTACCAATTTAAACACCCTAATTCACTTTTGCCACAGTATTTAATTTTACTACCATGTACCCAAAATTGATAATTATAGGTTTTGCTATCACTTAACCTTTTTCGTTACTATTTCCGTTTATGGGACCCTTTTATCACTTCCTTTCATATTCTTCGAGGCCTTTTAAAGGGAGGTTAGTTGTGTATGAGTAAATGCATAACAAAGAGCATGGGGGTCATTTCACGTAATTGCATTTCTGAATTTAGAGTAGTATCACTGGGTGATCAATTGTATCACTACATAGTCAATGATACTATATAGCTTTCAACTATACATTTAAAAAATGGCCCACTTACCCATCTCTCTCCTCCTTTCTCTCATCCCCATATGCTTTTTCGGAAGCAGTGCAAATTCGGCTCAACAGCAAAAAACTGACACACCCAGAGATAAGTCATCACCCGCCGAATGCTAACGGGTGTTAATTGGCATAGGGAGATCCTGTACTTTATTAAAATGTCCCTGACGAAGGGATCCAAAGGAAACCAAAGCCCGTATTGTAATTGCCAAGTGTACACCCCTATATATCCAGGAGGGGGACGGTGAATCCTGTCAGTCGGCGAGGGCATTCGGCACCAGTGCCCATCCTCTTCAAAAATGTCGTAGTGCAACTTAATTTGCTCGGCGAACCGGTAGGTTTTGGCATGCCAAACCCACCACGAGTATGGGGTATTTCTCACCATGGCGTCCTGCCATTCAGCATGCCCAGAAATCAGGTCCCAGAGCATAGGGGGCAAATCTTCGGCCTGCCCAGCCCGTTCTCTCTGCTCAGGTTGCTCCGCCTCGCCGGCCTCGGCGTCCTTCTTAGGCGGCGCGACGTTTAAAGTAACGGCCAGAATCCCCCTTTCCGGGTCTTCCCCGGCTCGCTCCCCGTTCCTGATGTCGGCGCGGTCACGGGGATCCTCAGCCTGGCTCCGTCGACCCAGTTGACGCCCTCTTCCTCGAGCCATACCCAAATTCGAAGAAGAAAAGGAGGGAGAAGAAGAATTTCCTTAAAAAAAGGCAAGAAAATAAAAAAAACTCGAAGAAAATTACCTTCAAATTGGCCGGAATGCGCCGGTCAAATTAGTGGAAGCGACGGATTTGAGTATCGAACTCGGATTCGAGAATGGTGTGCTAGAAATTCGGAGCAAAGGTGGGTTTATGCGAGAATTCGAGTGTAAGTTGGTGAAGAAATGAGGCAAAGACGCAAATCAGACCTTATAATTCCAGGAAGGAGAATTCCAAAGGTTGGAAAGTTCGAATTTCTCTCAAATGCCTCCTTAATAAACCGTTAAACACTCTCTCTCTTGATTAACCGCCCACTATCCACTCCACTTCCTATTAATTATCCAAATTACAGTTATTTAATTAATAACTGTTTAAAAATTTAAATCTTTTGATTTAATTAAATCATTTAATTCCCTCCATTTCTTATTGGATTCAAACCCGACCCGTCATCCTTCCAAATCGGGTCTGGGGGGCAAGTTGTTTGGGTCCAATTTACCTAATTGGGCCTAGTCATTTATTTGGGTCCAATTATCTCATTGGGCCTGGTCATTAAATGATCCAATATTCCAATGTCAAGGCCCGAGCCTCCAATCAAGCCAAGTCAGCCAGGAGTCCTTTGGTCCGAATTGCTATGGTCAGCCCATGACTATTTAAGGGCCCAATTACTCTCCTCTCCTCATATGCAAAGGTATAAAAGCCTTTAATTCATTCATTTATGGGATACACAACAAAGCCTCAAGCAACTAAATCTCTTGCATAGCTTTCTCTCTCAAAACATTGTCTGACTTCGGCATCGGAGGGGTCTTCCTCGGATCCACCCCCGAGGCCAATTTACGTGTTTTAGCTGTGCAGGAAACCTTCGGCCCAGCATCAATTGGACCGAACCAGTCTTCAGCCACTTCAGTGGGCCTTCGGCAAGGCCCCATTGTTTTCATCCGAAACAATTTGGCGCCGTCTGTGGGGAAGACTTTCAAAAAATCTTTAATTAAAATCATCTTGCAATCATCTTAGTGGCAATAGCTAAGAACCGCAAGAGCAAAAGCCTTCGTCAAGGAGCAGGCGAAAGGCCTAAAACTCCTACGCCATCACCTTCGCCGAACCGGAACTCTTCTAAGGGTCCCAGTTCGGAGGGAGGATCATACCGGGAGGATTCCCTTTCTCCCGTAATTCACAACTCTCATCATAGACCGAGTCCACCTCGGTCTAACAGAGGTCAGTCCAATCATAGGACTCATTCAGTGCCCCAAAGCCAACCTTCGACCATCCGCTCTCACTCTCACACTCAGCAGAGGACCCCTTTGACGGGGCCCATCTCGGAGGAAGTGGCGAGAGCGCTGGCAGTGCTCATGGAGGCAATGAGGGCACAAAATATGCCTCCACCTCGCGATCGAACTCCTCCGCATACCAGGCATCAGCGGAGGAAGCTAGACCGTAATGGGGGGAAGCCTCCCTTCTTTCGGGAGTTGGAAAAGTGGGAAGAGGATACTTGGAGAACTGAAAGAGAGAGGAAAAAGAACCCTCAATTTTTCAAAGAGTCCTCAACCTCTCTGCCAGAGACGCATAAGAGCAGCAGCTCAGCCTCTCGGCCAGAATCTGCCCGCCGAGAGCAACCTGAGACTGCCCGCTGAAGCGTACTCGACCGACTCGGCGGCAGGGAGCCGAGTGTGCACAGCCGTCTCTCGTTCCCTGTAGCCGAGGCCCAGACTTCCCAGCCAGGGACGAAAACCACTCCTACCTCCCTAGGAGGGCGGAGCGCGGTCCCTTCGGCCAGGAACAAAGGCAAGGCCGTTATGCTACCTACCAGTTCCCCATTCGAGCAATGGATTCTGGAAGAGAATGTGCCCACGGTTAAAATACCGTCGCACATTACATACGACGGGACTTCGGATCCGAAGGACCACATTGCCTCGTATGAGGCTCATATGCATCTTTGCCCCAGGTCCGAAGCGACTTGGTGCAAATATTTTCCAACCACTCTCAAGAGGGTCGCGCAAGCGTGGATCTCCAAGGGAGTGAAACAAGGCTCAATCGCCGGGTGGGACGATCTGTCCTCCAAATTTAGGAGCAAGTTTTCCACGGCAAACCGCCGAGAGAAGACTACTGCTGAGCTCATGGGCCTGCAGCAAGGGGAGACCGAGAGTCTCCGGGACTACCTGACCCGTTTCAGCAACGAGTCATCCATCGTCTCTCAGCTGGACCAAGGGCTAGCTGTTTTTGCAATGCAGAATGGCCTTCAGCCTGGGAAGTTCCTAGACTTCATGGTCATGCACACCCCGCAGACCTTGGAGGAAGCTCTAAACGCCTCGGATAAATTCATCCGAGCCGAGGAGTGGAACAAAACAAAAACCCAACCCCAATCTGGGAGTGGGAAACAAAAACAACCGTCCGAAGGCCAAGGCCAGAAGACGAAAGGAAAGGCGAAAGCCTCGGAGCAATATTCGGCCAACGAGCCGAAGAAGGAAAAATCTGCCCCATTCGCAGGCAGATATGAATCCTACACTCCACTCTCTCTTCCACGCGCCAAAATTTACAGCGTGACAAAGGAGGAGCAGAGTTATAGAAAGCCGAGACCACTCCCAGAGTGGTATCAGCGAAAAAATAAAAATCAGTGGTGCGAGTTCCATGAATCACCGGGACATAACACCGAGGAATGTATCCAGCTGAAGGACCAGATCGAGGACATGGTTCGGAAGGGATACTTGAAAAAATACATCGCGGATCACCGCGAGAAAAAAGAGGCCGAGAAGTCAGCAAAGGAATCTCGGCAGGACCTTGACTTCCCCCGGAAGAACAGCAAAATTGCAGAGGGAAAATTCTCTCCAATCAATGTTATCTCGGGAGGAATATGTTCTAGGAGGGAACACAAGCGGCACCTTAGGGCTCTTACCCACCAGGTGAACAATGCTGATATTCAGCCTCCTCAGTCGCCGGTGCCGAGCATGACGTTCACAGCCGCCGACTGCCGGGGGGTAACATTCCCTCATGAGGACCCGCTGGTGATCATCGCCACGGTGGCCAACCACGACGTCAGTAAGGTTCTTGTTGATGGTGGCAGCGGAGCAAACATTCTGTTCCGAAAGGCTTACAATCAAATTAAGCTGAAGCCCAAGCACCTTACGCCGGTACCCTACCCGGTATCCGGATTCAACGGGGCTTCAACTTACCCAGACGGGAAGGTGACACTTACTGTCACCATCGGCTGCGATGAGGCAGCCAGGAACGTCATGACTGAATTTTTGGTCATTGACGCTCCTTCAGTGTACAACGTGATTTTGGGGAGACCCATAATTCACGAGATCCAAGGGGTCGTCTCAACCTATCATCAGCTGATGATTTACGTCTCTGACGCCGGCTTCCCCGAAAGGATCCAGGCCAGCCAAAAGGACGCCCGAAGGTGCAATTACCTCAAGCCATCCACTAGTTGCCCAGGTGACGACGATGAGGATGAGGAGGAGAAAGAAAAAGAAAGAGGGCCGAGCACAAAAAAGCCGAAAGGTCTAATTGCTTCGGCCCAAGGTTCTGTGCCCAAAGAAAGAGGGCCAGAAAAGGAAAAGGCTACCTCCTCGTCTGAGCCGAAAGACTCAGGGAGCCAGCCGAAGAAGAAAAAGTCTGGGACGCCTGCTGACAAAGACAGCAGGCCAGATTGTGAGGAGTCCAGCCCATCAGCGATGGACATGGACCAGCAGACCGAAACAGTTGAGTTGACCGAAGGAGACTCTGAGAAATGTGTAACAATCGGGATGGACCTCGATCCGAACACCCGTTGTGAACTCATTCAACTCCTTCGGGACAACAGAGATGTGTTTGCTTTCTCGGCAGCTGATATGCCCGGGATAAGTCCAAACCTCATCTCCCATAAGCTTAATGTAACGTGTCGGCCAATTAAGCAAAAGAAGCGGAATTACTCCGCTAATAAGAACCGAGACATCGCAGCCGAGGTCAAAAAGTTGCTGGACGCAGGCTTCATCGAGCCTTGCCAGTATCCAGAGTGGCTGGCAAACGTGGTGATGGTTAAGAAGGCCAATGGCACCTGGAGAATGTGCGTCGACTTCACGGACCTAAATAAGGCTTGTTCGAAGGATTTCTATCCCTTGCCGAGGATCGACCAGTTAGTTGACTCGACAAGTGGCCATGCCTTGCTTAGTTTCATGGACGCATTCTCGGGGTATCGTCAGATCTTCATGCACCCTGACGATCGAGCAAAGACGACATTCGTCACGAACGCCGGGGTGTACAATTATAAAATGATGCCCTTCGGATTGAAAAATGCGGGGGCAAACTACCAAAGGTTGGTGGATCAAGTTTTTGCCGATCAAAAGGATCGAAACATGGAAGTCTATGTTGACGATTCAATCGTCAAAAGCAAAAAATCTGAGGACCATGTTAAGGACCTGGCTGAAACCTTCGCCACCTTAAGAAAGCACCAAATGAAGCTGAATCCGAAGAAGTGTGTCTTCGGCGTGAAGTCAGGGAAGTTCCTTGGGTTCATGGTCAGCAAGAGGGGGATTGACGCCAATCCCTTCAAAGTCAAAGCAGCGCTCGATCTTCCTGAGCCGAAAATAAAGCGGGATGTTCAACGGCTCACCGGAAGAATGGCAGCCCTCTCGAGGTTCATTTCCACAGCTTCGGATAAGGGGTTACCTTTCTTCAAAGCCCTGAAACTCCCAAAAACAAAAGAGCTCGTTTGGGAAGAAGAACAAAAAGAAGCCTTCAAGTAGCTTCGGGAGCATCTGGCTCAACTCCCAACGCTGGCTAGCCCAGCAGAGGGAGAAACTTTGTATATGTACGTGGCTGTTAGCCCAGCCACCATCAGTGCAGTGCTGCTGAAGGAAGAAAACAAAATTCAGCAACCGATCTACTTCGTCAGTCATACTCTGACAGATGCCGAGACCCGCTACCCTCTACTTGAGAAAGTCGCCTTCGCAGTAGTGGTAGCTAATCGGAAGCTGAGGCCCTATTTTGATTGCCATCAGATAGTGGTCTTAACTGATCAACCGCTGGAAAAAGTTCTCGGCTAAGTTGAAAAATCTGGTAGGTTGGCCAAGTGGGCTTTTGAGCTCACCGAATTCAGCATCAGCTACCAGCCGAGGGCTGCCATCAAGGCTCAAGCTCTAGCGGACTTCTTGGCCGAATGCTCGTACCAAGGGACGCTAGACGATGAAAAGAAAATCTGGACCGTGTTTACGGATGGATCCTCCACCGTAAATGGTTCGGGGGCAGGGGTAGTGATAACCTCTCCCGAAGGAAAATCCTTTGAGTATGCACTAAAATTTTCTTTTAAGGCTTCGAACAACGAAGCTGAATATGAGGCAGCAATTGCTGGCCTAGAATTGTGCACCTCCCTGGAAGCCGAGCATGTCTTCCTGAAGACAGACTCTCAGCTAGTTGCATATCAGATTGGTGGCAGCTACGAGGCCAAAGAGCCCTCCATGATAGCTTATCTTGCCAAGATCAAATCAGTCATTGCAAAGCTGAGAACTTTTGAAGTTCAGCTGATCCCAAGGGGTCAGAATACTCAAGCCGATGCACTCTCCAAACTTGCCAGTTCAACTCTCACTGAGCTGAACAGATCTGTATATGTGGAAGTGCGCCGAGAAAGAAGTGTCGACGAAGCACCTGAAGTGTGCTGCGCTGACCCAGAGCCCAGCTGGATGGATCTCATCCTAGCTTTCAAGCTTCGGGGAGAAATTCCCGAAGATAAAATTTTGGCCTCCAAGTTGAAGAGAGCCAGCTCGAGGTTCATAGTCTTTAGAGGGGAGCTTCTGAAAAAGTCCTTCTCAGCCCCATTGCTGAAATGCGTGGGACCAACAGATGCAGATTACATCCTTCGGGAGATTCACCTCGGCATCTGTGGGAACCACATCGGGGGAAGGACCTTAGCCCACAAGGCATTGAGGGCCGGATATTACTGGCCCACCATGATCTCAGATGCTAAGGAGCTGGTCCGGAAATGTGAAAAATGTCAAAAATTCGCACCAGTTATCCATCAGCCAGCTAGAGACCTTTAGCCGATCCTTAATCCACTCTCGTTTTCCCAATGGGGACTGGATATACTGGGCCCATTTCCAGATGCGCCTTACCAAAAAAGATGGTTAATAGTCGGCATCGACTATTTCAGCAAATGGATTGAGGCTGAAGCAGCTTCGAATATCACAGAGCAAACTGTCAGGAAATTTATCTGGCAGAACATTATTACTCGCTTCGGTATTCCGAAGGTCCTTGTCTTTGATCATGGGAGACAATTTGATAATCTGCCGCTGAGGCAATACACAGATCAATTCGGCATCAAATTGGCATATTTAGCAGTGTGTCATCCACAAAGTAATGGCCAAGCCGAAGCTGCAAATAAACAAATCCTCAATGCTTTGAAGAAAAGGGTTGAAGATCAAAAGTCCAAGTGGATAGAGGAACTTCTAGGAACCCTCTGGTCGCTTCGGACTACGGAAAAAGAGGCAACGGGCTATTCACCTTTTGAGTTGGTGTATGGTGCCGAAGCCGTACTTCCAGTGGAAATCGGCTCTGAGAGTTTACGAGTGCACCACTTCTCGGCTGAGAATGAGGACCTAATGAGAGAATCCCTCGATTTTCTTGATGAAGTGAGAGACTCAGCCCGAGTCAGAATGGCTGCTTATAAGCAGAGAATCAGCAAATTTTACAACCGAAGAGTCCATGCAAGGCCTCTCAAAATTGGAGACCTTGTCCTTCGGAATGCTGCTGCAGTTCAGAAAGGCCGAATCCATGGGAAACTCTCAGCTGCATGGGAGGGACCCTATGAAATCTGTGATGAGCTTCAGCCAGGGACATACCGACTTCAGCAGTTGGATGGAACAAAGTTGAAAAATCACCGGAATGCTGATGTACTTAAGAAATACCATGTGTAAACCTTTCGGGGCAGAACAATCTTTGTAAGTGCATTTTGAATCGTTAATGAAAGGCCTTGGAGCCACTATTTATATAAGTATTTGCAACTTTTTATTCTTTCAAAGTTTTCTTTATTCTATCTACTCTTTAAGGGTTTTTATTCAGCCTCGTCTGAAACCTTCGCCTCCGGGTAACTGGGTTTCAGATTGCTGACAAACTCGTCTTTTTAAAGAACACCGGTCTTTCAGCTTAAGTCAAACTTTAGTAAGACTTGTTCTCTAAAGACATGAGTCCATGGACAAGTCTGGGATATTGCCTTAACTGAGCCTTGTATCCCAGAAAGCCATTATCCGAAACATTTCCTTCAGTTGGCCCTGTGTTTTGGATATCCATTTTTAAAGATAGACAGAAAACCAAAGACAACAGCAACTGTTAGAAATCTTTTATTCAGCTTCGTCTGAAAGCTAAAGAAACAAAACCCACTCAGCAATCCAAAGACTTGAGTCTTCAGATTCCTGGCGGGGGGCAAGAGGCACTATCAGTGCAAGTTTATCTTCAGCAGAATTCTTCAAGCCGAAAGCTTTGTACTTAGCAAATTTTTGCGAAAATTTCAAAGTTCAGAAACAGTAAAGCATTCAAAATAAGCAAAGCAATCGAAGAAGAAGCATCAGATTAATGAAAGTAATGCTCAGAAAGCGAGCTACAAAGTTCAAATAAATTAAAGACTATATCGGCAGCCGCCCATAAGCGAAAAATAACAGCTGCCAAAATACGTACAGAAACAAAAGTAAACTGTTTGTACATCAAGGCAAGCTGAAGCAAAAAGATAAGGTAAAAAGAGATTCAGAAAGCGGCGAGTCTGAAGTTAAGCACATGTTGATCCGCAAGACTCTGAAGACGACTGCCCGATTTCCTATGCTTCAGCCGAAGGATCAGGCTGGTTAGCCAGGTCTAGCCCCGGGGCAGTCTCGGCTCCAGCAGCAGAGGAGGCAGGTTGGGCCCTTGCTTGAGCTTTGGCGGCTCGCTGTTCAGCCTCCAACTCCTGCCGCTCAGCTTCCTCCTCGGCTTGTTCAGCCTGAAGGATCTCATGCTCGGCGGGAGTGGCGTACAGCATATGCGGATCCTCGGGGTTCTGAGCCCAAAGCGCACACTTAGACCAATCCAGCGAAGTCTCAGCATGGAGAGCCAACCTCCGAGCCACCTTAAACCCATTTATGTAACCCATCTCGTACTCTTCTTGGGTGTAGAGGCGGACTTGGAGCAAGGCTTCAGCGTCAGCTAATCTCTTTTGACTTTCCTCCAAATCCTTTTTAGATTTTTCTAAATCTTCTGAGAGTTTGGAGGAAGAAGTCTTCTGCTCATTAAGCTCCAGCTGGACGTTGGAAGCCTCGGCCTTGGCCTGGGTCAGCTCATCTCCCTTAACCTTCAGCTGATCCTCTAGCTCCTTCAGCTTCTGGTCTTGGCTCTCAGCAGCAGCTTGGGCAGCAGAAAGGTGAACATCCCTAGCCTGTTGAGCCTCTTCAGCGGCCATCCTGCTGGCTTCAAGAGCTTCCAACTTCTGCTGCACTTCAGCTTGTGCAACAGCTCCTTCTTGAATACGGCTCTCGATGGCAGCTTTAAATTTGGAGATGTCCACTCCCATGTGCTCCTGAAGGAATTTCTCCCCTTCTATCAATGGGGGAAAAACTTCCTTCTCCATGGCAGAGCAGAAGGTCTGAATGGCTTCAGCAGCCCTCTTTTCATACTCTTCGCTCTGCTGCTGCCTCTCTTCAGCAGCCTGCTGTTTCAACTCAGCAAGCTTCGCCTCCTCCTGGGCAATCTTCACATCTTCCCAGGCATGCTCCAGCTTATCTTGGAGGGTGTCAATCAGCTCTACAGTAAGAGTCTGATTGTGCACAACCTGTTTGCGGGGGCACATCAGTTAAAATAAATAAAATAATAAAAAAGGAAGAGCCGAAAAGGAGGAGAGAGCTGAATAAAAGCAAAGCAAAACAACTAAATGGCTAAGTACCTACATCAGCAAACGCTGGTTGTCTCTTGCGGGGTCAGGGACCCTCCGGCTGGTTCTCCCATCCCAGTCGTGGCCTTCAGCGACCACACCCTCGCTCGGTCCACTTCGAACATACTAGATAGGTCGCCGAAGTAACCTGCAGCCCCTTCACGGTTCTGGCCCCAAATTCGTTCCCAAACAGGTTCTGGGACTGTGATGCGGGGGGCCGAGAAACCCAAATCCCCAGAGTTCAGTGTCTGGAAGGACGGGAAGGAAGAAGATGGAACCTCCTGAACCTTCTCAGGCTCAGCATGACCTTCTCCTTCGGCGGAGCCCAGTTGGTCTCCACCAGGGTCAGCAGCGACGACCTCCTCTGCTTCCTCCCCCAGATCAGGTTGACGAAGAAAAGCGTCAACCTTCCTATCAATATCATCTGAGAAGCCTTCAGCAATCGGCTTCTCAGAATCTTCAGTAGGGCATCCCTGAACCCCCCCTTCGGATCAGGAGTTTTTTGGTCCACCTCCATCTCTTGAGTTTCGAGAGGTGGAGGGGGGGTTTGGGGACGCGGAGCTTCCGGTGGAGGGGGAGCCCTCGGCGAGCGTCTACCTTCATTAGGCTCCCATATGAGGATGCCCCTGGTAGGCCTCATCCCCGTCTGATACTGACGAGGCCCCAGCACGGCTAACCTCCTCCTCCTCTTTGCTAAGGGCTGCTCGTCCATTTCTTCAGATTCTAACGAAGATGGATCCTCAGAATGAGCAGACGCCTTTCCTTCTCTTCTTTCGCTCCCTTCCTCAGACTGCAGAAGGGGGGGCAGCAAAGTGTGAGTAAAAAAAAAAAAAAAAAAGAAAAAAAAAAAGAGAAACGAGCAAGTCATGAACTTACTGGAACCCTCGGCTGAGCTCCAGATGCAGGGATATCCCTCTCAGCAGCACCAGATGTCCCAACACCTCCTTCCAAGGAGTCGATTGCTCGGGACACGTCAGCTGCTGTCTGAGCAGCCTGTGCTTCCTCAGGTAATAAAGGCCGAAGGGGATCTCGCTTCTCCCACCAAGGTTTCTGCTTGGTGTATTCGGCGGTAGCTTCGATCTGAAGGCCCGTTTTGTGCAGATGCAGCGGACGGTCCTTCGGAGCTGTGATTGCCGAAGCCCGGTCTAAAATGACTCGTTCAGCGTTCACCCCAAGTCGGTTATAGTCAACCCCCGAAGTAGCTTCGCTTAGCTCTGAAAAGAACAGACGAAGGTTAGACTACGGGAATAAGCATCAAAGATAAGCGGAAAATTAAACAAGTCAAAGTCCTCGGCCCCAGCCGAACATACTTACCATCCCTGTACTTTCGGCTGAGGCCGACAACTGCTACAACATCTTCTCTTGGAAGACGTAATGGTTATCTGGAAGCCATCTGGCCGGGATAAATCTCATTCGGCCAACTCTCCCAGGGTTATTCTGCTTCCCGAAGAAGCTCATTTGCTCGTAGCTGGGGTGATAAGCGGCATCAGGGTCCCTAGGGCCCAAATCCTGCATGTTCGGATCAGGCCTGGAGAGGTATTGGGGAGCCCCGAAAAAATAGGGATGATCTGGATCAACGGGAACTCTCACCCAGACCCATTGACCTCTCCAATCCTTGTCCGAGGAATCGTTCGGCCACATAGTCAGATAATGGGGACGACTCTCTATTCGCCACCAGCCTGAAGACCCATGTTGGCCGTATGTGCTCTGAAGGTTTTGCACTAGCTGATGCATCTTTCGGAAGCAGTGCAAATTCGGCTCAACAGCAAAAAACCGACACACCCAGAGATAAGTCATCACCCGCCGAATGCTAACGGGTGTTAATTGGCATAGGGAGATCCTGTACTTTATTAAAATGTCCCTGACGAAGGGATCCAAAGGAAACCAAAGCCCGTATTGTAATTGCCAAGTGTACACCCCTATATATCCAGGAGGGGGACGGTGAATCCTGTCAGTCGGCGAGGGCATTCGGCACCAGTGCCCATCCTCTTCAAAAATGTCGTAGTGCAACTTAATTTGCTCGGCGAACCGGTAGGTTTTGGCATGCCAAACCCACCACGAGTATGGGGTATTTCTCACCATGGCGTCCTGCCATTCAGCATGCCCAGAAATCAGGTCCCAGAGCATAGGGGGCAAATCTTCGGCCTGCCCAGCCCGTTCTCTCTGCTCAGGTTGCTCCGCCTCGCCGGCCTCGGCGTCCTTCTTAGGCGGCGCGACGTTTAAAGTAACGGCCAGAATCCCCCTTTCCGGGTCTTCCCCGGCTCGCTCCCCGTTCCTGATGTCGGCGCGGTCACGGGGATCCTCAGCCTGGCTCCGTCGACCCAGTTGACGCCCTCTTCCTCGAGCCATACCCAAATTCGAAGAAGAAAAGGAGGGAGAAGAAGAATTTCCTTAAAAAAAGGCAAGAAAATAAAAAAAACTCGAAGAAAATTACCTTCAAATTGGCCGGAATGCGCCGGTCAAATTAGTGGAAGCGACGGATTTGAGTATCGAACTCGGATTCGAGAATGGTGTGCTAGAAATTCGGAGCAAAGGTGGGTTTATGCGAGAATTCGAGTGTAAGTTGGTGAAGAAATGAGGCAAAGACGCAAATCAGACCTTATAATTCCAGGAAGGAGAATTCCAAAGGTTGGAAAGTTCGAATTTCTCTCAAATGCCTCCTTAATAAACCGTTAAACACTCTCTCTCTTGATTAACCGCCCACTATCCACTCCACTTCCTATTAATTATCCAAATTACAGTTATTTAATTAATAACTGTTTAAAAATTTAAATCTTTTGATTTAATTAAATCATTTAATTCCCTCCATTTCTTATTGGATTCAAACCCGACCCGTCATCCTTCCAAATCGGGTCTGGGGGGCAAGTTGTTTGGGTCCAATTTACCTAATTGGGCCTAGTCATTTATTTGGGTCCAATTATCTCATTGGGCCTGGTCATTAAATGATCCAATATTCCAAGGTCAAGGCCCGAGCCTCCAATCAAGCCAAGTCAGCCAGGAGTCCTTTGGTCCGAATTGCTATGGTCAGCCCATGACTATTTAAGGGCCCAATTACTCTCCTCTCCTCATATGCAAAGGTATAAAAGCCTTCAATTCATTCATTTATGGGATACACAACAAAGCCTCAAGCAACTAAATCTCTTGCATAGCTTTCTCTCTCAAAACATTGTCTGACTTCGGCATCGGAGGGGTCTTCCTCGGATCCACCCCCGAGGCCAGTTTATGTGTTTTAGCTGTGCAAGAAACCTTCGGCCCAGCATCAATTGGACCGAACCAGTCTTCAGCCACTTCAGTGGGCCTTCGGCAAGGCCCCATTGTTTTCATCCGAAACACATTTGTAAATTCATAGTGGAAAAACCGAAGAAGCTAATGATATAGGATGGAGTTGTCGGTGGGAATGTAGATGATTATGGCCATATTGGTGGGTTGCCGGAGAAGAGGTGCGGGTTTGATGGAGTTGGCCGAATTGTGTGAAGGAGTAGGGGTTCATAGCTAAGTGCGGGGAGAGAAGAAGAAAATGTGAGGATGTTAATTAAGTGGGCTCCATAAAACGGAAATAGTAACAGATTTTGTTAACCGGTAGCAAACTTATATATTTATGGAAAACTTTTATATACACCCGTTTTTCAGTAATTTACTGTACATCGGATACACTTTTGTCAGATTTAGTATCATTTTTGTCAAATTTAGTGTCACTTTTGTCAAATTTATCAATAAAGCATAAATAACTCTTATATATGTAACGGTAACTTTTGTACGTTTTAGTGTAACTTTTGCAAATTTTATTGTCACTTTATAACGGATGTTCAGTAATTTACTGATCATCCGTTTTATTTAAAAGTTTGTGTATATTTATTTGGATTTGGGTGGTAGTAAAATTAAATAAAAATTTAGATGGATAGTAAAATTGAAATAATGGTATTTTGGTGGTAGTAAAAGTCAAGTTTTCCTATGCAAAATGATTTTATTTTTTTTTATTTTTTTGGTGGAGACCTATGCAAAATGATGCATTGGTTATAATGGAAGACGATGACACGATGTCCTGGTAAGATATAATAATGGTGGTTAACAAGTTCATTTGGTTCAAATTTGTGAAGATATAGCCATACTTGTAAGTCCTGATTACCTAGCTAGCTTGATACTTGTTTAGTCATCGATTAATTATCACTCTACCATGACAATTTTAACTAATCCCTAAAAAGCATTTAAAGCATTGATAATGATTGCATGAATCAATGAATGTATGTTGTATAGGGCATTCGTTGTCTACTTTGTCGACTGGAAGGGAAGAGAAAGAGGGAGAGTTTACAGAGTCTAGGGATAACGTTAGAATAGAGATACAAGACAAAACTAAAAAAAAAAAAAAAAATTTATCGAGTATATAAAATACTAGATTTATTCATTGTTTCTTTAAGAAATTCTACAATCTTAATCAAAGGAATACAAACAACATGGAAAACACGTCTTATGGATGGTGTCTAACAAAATATGCCGTGCTAGAAAATAACGCTATTGTTGGAGGAAATAAATCTATTCTTAACTTTCATATTCTCTACGAATTAAAATACTCTGCTTCACGTAATAAGTTCAATTTCATCTAAAATAATTTAATCCTCTTAAGTAAGAGACGACATGTGTTTTTCTATAATAAGTTGCAAATTCAAGTAGGTTACGCTTTTTATCAAAACAATTTAGTACATTAGGGCAACCCAATATAAGCTTCTCGACTACATTAAGATGTCCTCCAGTAATTGCTTTATGAATAGGGTATGTACCATCGTTATCTTTTATCATTACACATTCAGGAAACTCTTGAACAGTGTAGCAGACTTCATCGTAACAACCTTTGTACGCTCCATATGAAAGAGGCTTCCATCCTTTCTTGTTCGCTGAGTCGATGAGCTCACGAAGGCCTTCCATGATTGCCTTCAATACAGCTAAATGTGCACACGAACATAAAATTGTTACAAATTAAATAAAGGTAAAGGTACAATTTTTTAAACAACTAGGTATTTGAAAATTCCACTATAAAGTTTGAAATCAATGAAAGACAACTGCCTATGAAATTCAATTCCCAGGCCATGTGAACAAAACTATACTCAAATAGTAAGTTAAAAAAAAAAAAAAAGTTTAGTAAGATGATACATACTCCATTCATTTTGCTAAGTATTACTTAGTTACTGTAATAACGCATACCATAAGAAAAAGTGAAAATAAGAATCATGTATGTGAGTATTTTTGTTTTAAAAAAGAGATAAAAATTCAAATAAGGGATTTATTAAATAAAATGGGGTCCATAAAGTGGGGTTGTGTGCAATAAAAAGATAAATAAATAATTGCCCATAAATTAAAAGTGAATAAAACTTCTTAAAAAAAGTGAATAAAACTTAGAAAAATAGATAAAAAATGGAAAATTGGTAACATTTAGAAATACCGAGGAAGTAGTAGACAATAGTAAAGCTAACAGTCTTATGACACTCACCTAGGTTTCTCTTCTCAAGGGCAGTATGTGCAATTGAAACCTTCTTAGCATGACTGAGAAGATGCTTTCTGATGGATCGATCTGAACCCTTTGCGATCATGACCCTAACCAGATCCGAGTAACCCTTCTCTACAGCAAGGCACAGCGGCGAGTCCCCTTGGTTGTTTTCTTTGTAAATGGCCCTTGGAGCTTCCTTAACCATATAAATCGCGGTGTTCTCTTTGTTACCATCGACAGCATAGTACAAAGGGGTGTTACCGTAACGGTCACCCCCAAGCAGCAATTTCTTATAACCACTTTCACTTTGCATTGATTTAGCAATCATCTTCAGTGCCTTGGTTTGACCATGATATGCAGCCATATGTAACGCAGTGCAATCCGTGTTATCCTTGTACCGTATTATGTCTTGATCAACGTCGTCTTCCATGATCTGTGCGATCAAGCTTAGTTTACCTCTCGCAGCTGCCTTAAAGAGTCTAATCCACTCTTCTTCTTCTTCGTCATCATCATCATTATCCGAAAGCCCCATTCTTACGAGACCCAATTGTATATCGGAAGGTAGAAAGAGTTGCTTGTCTCGCCCCACACGCTCCATTCGGATGCACAAATCTTCATACCCGGCTTTTTGTGCTAGAATAAACGGCGTCTCTTTATCATTATTGAACTGGTATATGACACTCGTCTCACTCTTAGCTAGAAGAGTAGCGGCGTCTAAATGGCTGTTCTTGAGAGCCAAGTGCAAGGGTGTGTCACCTTCTGCGTTCCCTTCACACAACACATCCCTCAATATCTTAACATGGTTGTTCATGTCAAGAAACTCCATCATCTTCGATATAGTAGTCTCATGTCCGGCTCGTGCCGCGACATGGAATGCCGTGTCTCCAACAGCATCCCCAATTCAGATTAGGGTCGGATCTTTGGTGAGGATTTCCACAGCTTCATCTGCTTGGCCTTCTAAGGCCGCGTCGAGGAGCTCATCAGCCCCGCACACCACTTCATTGTCGTTGTTGTTGTTGCTGCTAGTAGCGTTTGTTTTTGCTTCACTGGATGCCATCAAATGAATGATACAAAGATATATAGTTGAAGGTGTTAGTTACCTTTTTTTTTTTCTTTTGCTTTTGCTTTGATGCAAATATACTTGTTGGTTTGTTAATCTTTAATTCTTTGTTTTGATAAGTTTATGTTATTTGGATGTGGGCTAATGTTTGTATATATGGAGTGTGATGTCAATAAACCGCGTGAATTATGTGTAGATTATGTGTAATTAGTTGAGTCAAAGTTCAATTAATTTAATTTGGACACTCTTAAGCTGAAAATTCATAATTTTACACTGGTTGATTCACTTTATTATTCTTCGGAAATTATGCGAGAGTGCGAGACCATGTGCGGTGGTGCATGTGCCAACGTACATTTTATACATGGCTAATAACCAATGTAACTTTGATCCTTCCATTAGAAAATAAAACCATATAATTGAAGACAACCTCCCTCTCTAACTAGATGGGAGGTTTATTCCACATCGAAGGGATGGATGAGATGTAAACTCATAATCTTATTACAATATTTGTTGATACCATATCAAATGACAAGTTTAATCAAAATTTATGTAGATGGTTAAAACTCTAGCATTGATTATACAATTCACCAATATGAAAAAGTGTTGAGATCATTATATAACAAATTAAATGTAGTATTTTGGATCCTTTTGGTTGTGGATCAATACTTTGGGGGGAATTGGGGGGTTAATATGATTTTACTTTTGTCTCTACTTGTAGTATTTTGGATCTATTTTTTGTAGCTACTAATTAGTACTCCATACATCACTACAAGTCATGTAAGTGAATGCTCATATTATCTCCATCTCTAATAGATTACCCTTTGTAAACTAAATTGGGCTCGTTTGGCATCACTTTGGTTTTCTGTTTTTTAAAACCATATGATATACGTCATATAATGAATAAAAAAAATAGTCAAAACTATTAAAATCACGATAATTTTGAAAACTGACAACAGAAAAGGGGAAACACCTTTTTCTTGTTTTTTGTTTTTTTTTTTTTTAAAAAAAAAAAAAAAAAAAAAAACTGAAAACTGAAAACCAAAAATGATGCCAAACCCTCTTGTTTGACATCATTTTTGGTTTTCAGTTTCTTGTTTTTTTGAAAACCAAAAACCAAAAACAGGAAACAAGAAAAAAGTGTTTTTACTTTTCTGTTGTCAGTTTTCAAAATTATTATAATTTTAATATGTTTAAATAATTTTTGATTCATTATGGGTCATATATCCTATACTTTTAAAAAACAAAAAACCAAAAAAACAGAAAACCACAGCAATGCCAAACAAATCCGCCCTTTTATGGTTTTTTTTTTTTTTTTTTTTTTTTTTTTTTTTTTTTTTTTTTTTAAAGATTTTCCTACTTATAATTCCATTTTCTCTCTCAATCTCTTTCATCATCAATAAACATGTTTTCTATGTAAATACTTTTAATTGGGACTAAAGAAGTATGCATAACTATAAAATAATGCAAGATGTACAAAAGAAGCATCTTCTGCATGACTGCTTCCAATTATGGATCGGAGTCCTTTAAATTTTCCATTAAACATGTAAAAGAACGACTAATAGTGCACACGGTGGGACGATAGTAGCTAGGCATTTGACTAATATCAGTAATTAGCTGTCATCACTGTGTTAACCGTACTCAATCTAGTTATTATATAACTTTCCTTAAAATATGACTTGTTGATTTGGATATAATTGACTAATAAACCAAAGAGTTGCTGTACCCAATTGAATAATTATCAATAAAATCACTTAGTTTAATTAATATATAAATACGTTTATTGTCCTCAATACTTCAATGGTCCAAGCTTTCGATAAAAAATTAGTCACTACGTACTGTTCAGAAACATGGCCCCTCTAGGGCTCTAGGTATAAATAAATTGTATAAAATCTGACAAAAAAAAAAAAAAAAAGGTTGTTTTACCATCAAAGTTCTCAAAGCTCTATTTTAGGGGAATTCTACAGTGGTCATGTTCAAATATGACCATAGCTATGCTTGAATTTTATTGGTTAACCTCTCTTTCATTAAATTGTTGGTGAAACTTACCTTTTCTTATTTTTCTATTTTTATTTCTTTTCTATTTTCTGAAAAATACTTTTTCCTTTTTCGAAATTCTATTTTATATTTCAGAAATTATTTTTCAAAAATCAGCTTTAATTAAATCCGAAAATTAAATTAAATTAAAAAAAAATATGTTCTTAATTCATCGTGTTCTTCATTCTTATTCATTTCCTATGGATGAATTTAACCTCTTCTTAATAATCTTTGAACCACACGGTTACTTTCGCATCGATGATCATAAAAAATAGGGCCTGATCCAAACATCATATTCGATATTACAAGTTATTAGAATTCCGAGTTTTATCGGCAATGGTATTGGTGAAAAATACTTGAATAATTAGTTTTTATTGTACAAAATCCTTCAATTGATGCGAAATATCTGATTTGATGCAATCGAATTCAATAGTTTTTACGTTTTTCAAGAATTTGGGGTTCGACATGAAATTCTAAGAAGAAACCGATAACATTTTTTTTTCGAAACCTGTTTGATCCAAAAAATACGCTTATGTTAATCTAACTTTTGTTTGTGTATACGTAACTAACACAAATAGATATTGGACATTACATGTTTGAAACATCTCTAAAATAAATGGGTCACGACCATACGTAACATTGGACATTACTAATGAATAGAATTGAATGTCATTTAAATGGTACTTATTTTACGCTGAATCTAGCAAAATTATCTAAATGAATCTTACATAAATATTCGAATAACAAATTACGATCTCAATATGTTTTAACTAAAGAAATTTTAGTCAAATATTAGGAAATATCTATAATGTGCGGGGATCTCATCAATATCCTTCCCTAAAATATTATCTTTTGAATTTTGAAAAAATTATCTTTCAAATTTTAAGAATCTTTTAAAACATTATCATTATACAATGTCTTATATGTGGCCAGCCACACCATGTGACCAGCCACTATAAGCCCAATTCTCGCGGCCCAGTTTGCTATTTATAACGGAGCCCGTTATTTTCATCCCGTTTTCTTAGAATTCCGTTATTGTTTTAAAAAAAAAAATTAAATACAAAAACACAAATTGGAAACCGCCTGAACTTCCCTCCTTCTCTATTAACTTCTTTTTTTTTTCTTCTTCTTTCGTTACTCTCTTTCTCTCTCATCAAATTTCATTTGCAATTCAAATTTTCTCTGCATTTTATTAGTCTCTTTCTCTCTCTTTAAATTTTCTCTGCAATTTCTCTGTCCTCCATTGTTGCATTATGGTGAAGATTAAGGTTGTTCATCGTGGTGGCAAAAAAGGATCGACAACTTGTGAAGGTCTTGATCGTCTGTTTATTTTTTTTTAGTTTCTTTTTTGTTGTTAATATTTTCTTGTTTTCCCGACGTTTTTGTTATATTTGTTTAAAATTTGTTGTGATTTTGTTTGTTTCAGTAGTTTTATACTTCAATTTGATTATTAACCCTAATTTTTACTTTTCGTTGAGTAATTTTATTGTTCAATTTCATGATCTAACCCTAACTTTTATTTTTCTTCTTTTACTTGTTTAATTATGTGTTTGATAATGTTCATTGCTGTTTATTGTCATTTTTGCTGTAATTTGTACTATAATTGTGAACTTTGAACATTGCATGTGTTATTATTGTTTAATTTCATCTTCTATTTGATTTTTTAGACCTTGATTTTTACTTTTTTCCTTTTTCTTGCTGAATTAAGTTCTTGATGATGATTTCTTTTATTTTTTTCATTGCATTTGTTATTCTGGTTTTTTCTTATGAATATTTACCTTTTTTTTGTTCTACTTGTCTTATATATGAAATTTAAAGAGATTATTTATTCAGCGCCTGTTCTGTTATTTATTAGTTGTCTAGGTGTTACTTTTGTGTTATATATTGGTTACCTTTTAAGTTATTGAGAAATTTTCTGTTTAAAAGTCTAATTCATGTGTTTTATAGTTTACTGTTTTTTGGTTACTTATAAATTATATAATAGTTACTTATAATTTACATAAAATTTACTTTGTGAGTTACTTATATGTTTCATATGAATTACTTATAAGTTTTATAGGGATTACTTATAAGTTTCATAGTGGTTACTTATTTGTTACATAGGAGTTACTTATATATTTAAACTTTTTTTTAATTTTAAGTGGTTATTGCTTGATATGGTTTATGTTTCTTGTGTAATGGAATTACTTATTGCATTGTAGGTGTTACTTATTTAATAATAGAGTTACTTATTGCATTATAGGTGTTACTGTTGTGTTATATATTGGTTATCTTTTAAGTTGTTGACAAATTTTCAATGTATCAGTATTTTTCATGTGTTTTATATAGTTTATTATTTTGTGGTTACTTAATCACATAATAGTTACTTATAAATTTCATAGGTATTACTTTTTGAGTTGCTGAGTATTACTGTGTTTTTTTTTTGTTAATAGTTGAAAATTAAAAGGTTACTTATATGTTTTATAGGGATTACTTAAAAGTTTTATAGGGGTTACTTATATGTATCATAGGGGTTACTTATAAGTTACATAGGGGTTACTTATAAGTTTTATAGAGGTTTCGTATATGTTTAATAGGATTTCTATACTTTTATATTAGTTTGTATTTATTAAATTTTTGTGTTTTATTTTTAATTTTACTAAGTAATGTGTATATGTTTAATAGGTATTGGAAGTCAAGGAGTTGATTAATCTGAGGGAAGGATCCCTATGGATAGTTCTTCTGGTGTTTTAGAAGAAACAGATGCTTCAAAGTTGTCATCTGCTCCTGTTATAGAAGATTCAGAAAAGGAAGCCTCAAATAAAGACATTCATGATGAAGGTGATTAAAATAGTACTAATGGAGGCCAAGGGCATAACAAAGATGTTTGGACAGACCCTATATCTTCTGTTTGTCCTGAAACTTCTAAGATTAATCCCAGTAAAAATGAGTTAGTTCGATTGAATACCATTGGAGGAGGGCCTTCTGTAGTTCAATCTGGCGAAGAAGAAGATGTGAAACCAAATAAAAGAAGAAGGAAGATGATTATGGATGATGATGAAGAGGATGTCAAGCCGGTTCCTTCAAGAAGGCCTGTAAGATCTTCAAAAGCTCGTTCGTAACTTGTTGAAGTTGTGAATGTTGAAGATGATGGGTACTTGTTCTTATTTTCTTAACTGATATTTTTTATAATTTTAATACTCATTATATTAATAATAATTTTAAGTCATATTGTTAAAAAATAATAGGATTTACTCATTAGCATTAGAATGATTACTTATTTTTATGGTAGTGGTTACTTATAAAATTTAAAGGGGTTACCTATTACGTATT